AAAAAAATGTTCTCTGTCCAGCTAAGTTTAGAAGCCATGCTGAGCTGGAATACCAAACTTTGCCAACTACTGTAATTGGAATTCCAGGTATAGCTCCTTCAGAATGGAAATTCCAACCCATCTCATATTCAAAAAGAAACATTCCCTCTCTCTCTAAATTTATAGGCCCATTTATTTCCCGGGTACCCTTTCAAAATGCTCCACCGGTTCCTTGTGAAGTCTGCGGGAGCTCTACAAACTGTCTTCCATGAATAACAAACAGGATTGGTTCAGCTCTGCCTTTCCCTCCCGCCTGCTGCACGCCGTGGCTTTGCACAAAGAGTGAAGTTCTCAAATATTAATTGATCCCCAATCAGCCTTTGATCCCAAAGGCACGAGTTCTCATTGACGAAAACACGGATCTCCTCGGAGACGCCTCATTCCTATTGATTCTTCAAAGCCTGCATCAAAATCCCAGCAACAAAATCAGAGAAGAGTAATTGGCAAGATCAAAGAGCAAACTGAAGAGGGGGCAGCAAGGAGTAGGCCCTAGTCCTCTTATTTCCATTTCCATCTCAATGTGATAGCAAAGGTTGAAACAAACTGGAAGTGTACCCGACAGCCAGAATAACCAGAGCACTGGCCTCTCCCATAACTGTCGTCACAAGCAAGGATGCACTGATAAACAGAAGCTCCCAGAACTACCCAGGCAACAGTGGCAAACACCACACTTGGCAAGCAGGCTCTGAACTTCAAAAGGGACACAAATGAACCCCCTACATCTAAGAAATCCATCGATTTAGTTATTTGGATTTACTATTTCCCAGTAAATAATTCAAGGGTGGTGAGAGAAATGGGTAATTAAGCATAATAATGTAGGTTCACTATCTCTTCTTTGAAATATTGAGACCAAAGTGTTTTCAGATTGCAAATATTGTCATATTATATAGTATTTGCCTATATATCATCGGGTGCGCCTTGGATGTGAGATTAAAGGGTAAATGTGAAATTCATTCATGTTTCGTACACATCTTATATGCACAGACCTAAGGTAGATTTGTGCAATGCATTCAATGTTCCTGTGCTGTGACTATAACCCACTGCATGAATTCAGGTGCAGTGAGGATGCAAGTCCAACCAACAACTCAAGCATACACATTAAATGAGGCATTTGTAGGGCATGCAAATGACATGTCAGTAAATCTGTTAAGGTATTTGTGGTTTATGATATATAAAAATATACATTAACACCACAAAGTGATTACAGCAATACCCAAGAGTTTTAATTGGTAACATATGCCCATGAAATCAACACAGGGAATACTGAGGTCTGAGGATCATGAGTTCAGGGACAGACTGTTCTACATTGTGAGAACTTGTCACATACAAAAAAAGTGAGGTACCACACAACAGTCGAAGATGCACACTCATAATGTGTTTAAACCAAAGAGACATTTATGAAACATTTATTGACAACATCCTTCTCAGTTTTTCCTACTGGGATTACTGAACCAAATTCAAGATAAGTTTTTAGTGTGCATACCAAATTCAAGAATTATCTGTGTTTGTGAGAAGGAGTCTTAAGTAGACAGCTGCTGATTCCGCACAAGCATCTCCACATTTCAGGCTGATCATGCATCTGCTGTCACTACATTAATATCAATTTTACGAGCAACTGCATCCTTCTATGAGAACAACTACTGTTGGGAAACTGCTGTCGTGTTGGCTCATAAACCCATGTGAGTCCAAACAGGACTCAGTGAAGTCAGTGAGACTCAACAACTCTGCCTCCCCGTGGAAAACATCCTTCAATGTGAAATATTAATGCTCCTTTGAGAATCTAAGTTCAATGTGCATCGAAATTTCAAAACAATTGATTATTGTTTAGCAATCTTGGTAAGAAATCTCACAAAATATTACCTGTAAAGCTTTCTATTTTAAGATCAAACCAAATGTCTTCATCCTTACAATTTTTATTTGTACATTTCCCCCATAAACTCACAGATTACGTGAAGAAATATGAAGAAATAACTACCAAGGAGCTATAATCAAACCCACTTAACAGCTTTTCGTTCACAGGGCCACTGCAACATACATCACCTGCTAACCCTCAGCCACCAGCCTGCTGCTCCATTCTGTGTCTCATAAAGCAACTGGCAAAGCCAATTAAATATGAGTGTGCATACCTTCAGAGGAGGAATCAGAAATGCATCCCTGGTGGCATGGGAAGCTGACTCCACAGCAATGTACACTGTCACAACACCGCCACATATATATGTAGGAACACAGTCACAGAAGGTTCAGTACTGGATCTTTATGTCTGTGCTAAACACACAGCCTGGAACCCAGTGGGAAGCACAGAGGCTTCGTTCAAGGAGCTCCTATGTCAGCCAGAGGTCCTATGTAGGAGAGGAAAACCCAGGATGCAGGCTTAGGATGCCCTGGGTAACCTTGGCCATAGGTCATCTCACCTGGACCCACTGAAGCCCAACATCTGTCCACAGGCAGCTAGTTCTAAGATGAAGGGAGGCAGGATACATCAGAGTGCTCAGCACTGAGTACGTTTGCAGAACTTTTGGGTTATTTTCTGTCCTCCTTTCCATAGTGACTCAGAAGCCGGGAGCATGCATGTTAGCAGATCCTGGGGCACTTTCCAAAGCTGGCGGCTATGGTGTAAGGACTTGGCCAAGTTCCAGTTCAGATAATTATATTCTGTTTCCTGAATTTGCCCAGATGTTTCTACCAGTGACAGCCTTGTTCATTTTAATTTTTTTTAAACCTTTTCGGGGGAAAAAAGTGGGAAGAATCTCTGTGAACTCCCCCCTCCCCCATCTTACTGATACAGAAGAAAAGGCAAATGTGACATGTGACCAAAGTAATGGCAGCTTTGGTCATGAACAAGATGATGGGTGTGTGTGTGTGAACCTTCACACGGGGCCAGCTTCAGAGGACCAGAAAAAGACATCAGAGACAGTAAAGGCCCTGGGGATGAAATGAGGCAACTGTGTCATGATGCCTTTGTGGGATAATGACCGCACAGGTACCCTCTAGAGCTACAGTGGACTGTCTAATGATCTATTCTAATTCAGGCAACTGAAGAAATGCTCTCCCTACAAGTGTGTGCATTTTAATACTGTGGATCTAACCATTCTTTCATGGTTTGGACAGGGGCCATCAGCAGAGACCCAGGAAATGTAGCAACTTGCCAATTTCTTTGCATGCCAGGCATTCTAAAAATAAAGCAGGCTGCCAATACTCAGATGGCCAAAAATGTAAACTCCGAAAGTATCAGTCTTGGGAAAGGATACAGGGGAAATAAAATGTCCACGCACCATTGGTGGGAAGCAAATTGGTTCAGATACTTCTCACAGCAATTTGGAAGCAGCTGATAAATCTAACACCGTGTCTCCCCACATTCCAGCAACTTGGCTTCTTAGACACATACATATATTTTTCTCATGGAGACACACACATGCTGTACCACAACAATAATTTTAATAGACAAAAACAGAGGAGGAGGCACCAAATGTTCAAAATAAGTGCCGGCTGTGATATATTCCTATGACTGAACACTACCGATTGATCTTAAAAACGTAAGTGGAAATGGGGGGAAAAACCCAAACAAGACAACAACCAGAGCTCCAAACCCACAAACTGTACATATACAGATGCAGCCAACTATGGACAGAAACAATCAGGAGCAAACAAGTTTTTACTGAGTACATACCATTGCCCCTCCCTGCCCCCATTTACTAATACCAAGCCTTTAAACTGTACTCATTATTGTAAGTAGTCAAGAGCTGACTCCCTCCATTTAGGGCATCTATGGACTCGATTCTGTGGACAAACTGCCATGGACATCGCGGGACAGAAACACAGAAAAAAAATGAAACAGATGAATAACATTTATTAGAATATATGGAAGGAAAAGCTAATAGTGTCACGAAAACTAATATTATGAATACATAGTTCACACATGTATGTACACACACATGCATACACACATATACTTATGCATTCACACATATACATACACACATATACACACACACACACAGACACGCATATACACATACCCACATGCATACACACATACCCACATGCATACATACATACACATACACACACACACACACACACACACA